AACATATTTCGCGACTACTGCATATCACCGCGAATATCGCGTTTTTCACCGAATTTTACGCCACTTCGCGTGAAGCTGGTTGGGAAACTCCAATATAACTCACATGTATAGACTGTCGTGATTAGTCATATCCTGATAATTCCCAATCGGCGAGATATCAGATGGAGTTTTCTCCCCAAGCACTTGGGCGGAGAGAAAACATCTCGTCCTGAAGAAAACACGTAATAGATCATATCACAGAACATGGGAAAATCAAAATCACTAAAGTTTCACCCGTGACATGAAAAACGCTAGTGAAAAACATATTTTAAGACTACTGTATATCACCGCGAATATCGCGTTCTTCATCAAGTTGTACTCCACTTCGCGTGAAACGATGAAACTCCAATATTGCGATAATTAATCCTATATCACTATAATTTTTGTACTTAATATCCTATTCTCCTTTCCCCCCACCTCGCGAGCCTATTAACAGCCCAGGCGTGCTTAAAAGGACATATCCTTTCGTCAGCGCACCACAGTCTCTCTGCAACTGCGGCGGCTCGAGGCCATACTCTTGGCATGAATACACTGTCATCAACAGATTCTCCTAAGGAGAGAAAAACGGTAAATGAAATTTCAACTCATTTAACTTTCGAATAACGTTTCCCCAAGAGATTGGTAAGGATGGGAAAAATGTTATTAATGTGATGACATTTACATGGGAAAGACTGATCGAAGAATGCGGAAAATTTAAAATGAGTTTCACCCTAGTGATATGAAAAAAACACCAGTAAAAACACGCCATATCGCGTCTTTCATATGGAGTATCACGCCACTTCGCATAAAACGGGTGAAACTCCATTATAACTTCTTACCCCACATGCAAGCTTCGCCACCTTTCAAAATGCCGTCCTTATCTCTTGTCAATGGCACATCATAGAACTTAGCCCAGTCGCTGAAAAAAGTGAAAGAGATATTATAATAAAATTTCACCGGTTTCACGTGAAGTGGCGTGATGTGAAAAACGCGATATGAAGTCAGTTGAAAACACTTGAAACGAATTTCACCGAATAAAACACATACCACGTGTTTCACGCGTTATTCACTGCCTATATGCGTTTTTCGCCAGGTCGAATATGAAATATGTTGTTCGCTAGTGTTTTCCATATCATTAGGGTAAAATTCCAACACGACTCACTCGTTGAGTTGATCCAAGTAAAATGCCGAACTGTAGAGAAGATTTTTGAACTTTCTCGAGGCGGCCATCTGAGGAAGAAAATGCAAAATAGCATAAAGCCTATAAGGAATTTTGAAGTTTCACCTATTTTACGCGGAGTGGTCAAATAGGCGATACTCGCGATATGAAAATGTGAAATACATTCCTCACTAGTGTTTTTCATATCGCTAGGGTGAAACTCCACTGAATATGTTTATTACGATTTACTCCATGTGATTTTCGCAAAAACTTACATCTGCGAGTAAAATCCATTTCATGTGCCTTTTTCCCGAGAAAAAAAATTCCCTGAGATATACAATCTTCATTGTAAAAAATTTTTGTGTAAAATGCTGATTGCTCGGAGTTTTTCGCGAAATACTGCGAGTGTTTCACGTGACATGGGGTGATCTGCCAGATGTCATTCGCCAAGTATTTTTAATTCACTTCATATCGCGTTTTTCACATGGAGTATTACACCACTTCACGTAGTAAAACGCACCAAGATTTCGAAGTTCCCTCGTATTCGTCCTATTATCACAAACACACAAATGCATATTCTCCCACGCATTGCTGGAGGAATATATATCTTCTATTTCCTCAGCTGAGCTCAAGAGTTCTCTCCAAGAAAGTTCATATATAAACTCCGCTAGAAATGTACAAAAACCCCAAATTTCCTCAAAGTTTTCATAT